TGTTAACAGAAGTATCTTCTTAAGAGATGCCTATACCAAACTGGAATATTAAACTTGTAATTTCTTTTTATTGAACATGTTTAATATGTTTTATTGAATATGTCTGTAAGTATTTTGTTCTAGATTTAGAGCATCTTTCAAGCATCTTTCATAATGAAACAAAGCATATTACAAAACTATGAAATATCCCACCATTCTGCATCTGTATAATCTGAATAAAGGTCTTGATTTAATATTTGTGGATAAGATTTTTAAATAATTACAATCTATTAGGAAAACATTTCAAATGATTTATCTACAAAAATTCCCACTGTGATATCGGTAGATAGATCATTTGAAAAGTTTTTCTAACAGACTGTTTTCATTATCCCAAAATATTAAATCAAGGTCAATTTGTTTAAGACACCTTTGTTAATGGATAGTTACAGAATATGTAATATTTGTTACAAACTACAGTCAATTTATATGTGTGTATATAGGTTTACATTGCATGTACTGTTTATTTATTTGCATCTGCAAGAAAGCCATTTAACAATAGTCTACCAAAAAGCCTTCATGTGATAATTATCAGTTTTAATACATTTAAATTTATGTAAAACACGAGAAGTCAGCTTTTTAATCTTAGATTTGTTTTGGCTTTGTTTGTTTCATGCAGATAATTGTAAGATCAGCATTGTTTGCTGAGGTGTACAAGTCATCATATATATGTACACCATAGGCACTATATGACCATATACTGTAATTAAATCCGCATTATATTTACCCAAGTTGGGTGTTTTAAAAAAACAAAACAAAAAAAACAAAAAAAAAAAAGCTTGGAGCTTGGATTTGAAGTTATATGTGTGTGTGTGTGCGTGTGTGTGTGTATATACTCACTCACATACATGCAACATATATTGCAGTGTTGTAAAATAAATAACAGAATGAATATCATTTGCATAATGGTAATAATGCATGGGAGTTTCAAGCAGTTGCTGACACTTTCCCTGAATACCAGAAGAATCTTTGACACATAATGGTCTAAGTATCCTGCTGCTAACTAGAATGATTCTTCACTCCAAGTGTGTGGCACTCGTAAAATCTACTAGGCAGTGCCACTGGCCGAGTCTGTGCACCTTACAGACCACACAATAACTCAATAGGGAAAGAGGAACCTTAAAATTCCTTTCTAATCTGTATTCAGCTTCCCTTGACTGGTTTATCTGTCTTTTGTTATCAATGCTCAGCCTTTAAAATGGGAAAGGTCACTGGGTCACATGTTCTATTCTTTAGTTTCTATTTATCAAGAAGAGAGATGCTTTCTATTTTCTAAAATGCTTTTGGCTCACGAAAAATAAAAGAACGGCCGTCTGGCTACTGTGCAGCCAATATTTCTACAGATTTAATTTATCTCTTGCATGTGCTGCAGGTGGACCCACACCTCACATTAGAAGTGCATTTAAATGGAACAACAAATATGTTTCAATATAGCAAAGAAATCACCAAGATTTAGAATAGGACCAATAAATGAATAAAATAAAGATTGGTTAGCCGGAGGGGGAAAAAAAACGAAAATTCTTCAAAACCCTGGGTTACGTCTTCAACACAAATACAGGCAAATTCCAAGAAGATGCTGTCATCGATAGTTATGAGAAATCAGGGAAGTGGTTACAACTGTTTTCTGTGGAGGAAAAAAGACTAGAGAGATAAAAAGATGAGAATGAAAATTAAGCAAGTCCACATGTTTACATTCTTTTATAAATGCATTTGCATCTCCCCCTACAATTTCCCAACCAGCTGACACTTTTCCAGGCATTATAGAGACACTCCATGTCTACATATGTGGGAAGCTGGAACACAGTTTTTTGACAAGGAAATAACTTCTAATTTCTCATAATGCTGACACTCTGGAGATAAATATATATTTTTTTGTTTTGATGTGAATCCAGAAAACCACGTGCGAGCTGCCGAATCTCAATACAAATTACAAAGACTTTTGGTTAGGTGACCTTATGTAAAGATAACTACAGTGATTACATATATAAAGTTTAGGGGATAACTCTCAAAAGAAATAGACTAGGCCATAGCCACTCTTCATTCCATAACACTTTTTTTACAGGGATCGTAATGGGGTGAAGTTACAAAGGTTGCCTGGACTAGACAACCCATTTGGCTTCGAATGTCTACATTTTGTAGCCCACTTTTATTTCAGTATTTAAAATATACTATGAGATTCAAAATATAGATGCATGCATGGGATAGGCATAAGGCTATCCTAACCATAAGGTAAGGCTAGGGACTAATGAAAGTTTTTAGAAAATTGGGCAGACTAGATGGGCCGAATGGTTCTTATCTGCCGTCACATTCTATGTCTATGTTTCTATGTAGTTTATGTTTCTCTCCATATCTTAACAGGTTTAGGCAACCTTTGACACTCCAGACATGGTGAAGTGCCGAAGGTTGCCAACGTATGTCTTAAAACATGGATAATTCTAAAAGGAGAGAAGCATTAACACCCAGCACTCCCAAGTAACCAGGTCCTGCAGAATCTTCTCAGCAGACTGGGCCCCTTAAAACAGCATTAACACCCAGCACTCCCAAGCAACCAAGTCCTGCAGAATCTCCTGAGCAGAGGTATCATCTCTGGAAGATCTACTCAAGAATTCCTACATTACTGTTTCCTTTAGACTCTTATTTTAAAATTGTGTTCTATTCCATCTCCCTCCCTATACTATCACTACTTAATTGATAACTATATCTCCCATCCTGATCTTCTGTTTTTGTTTTTCTTAAGGCTGGTATGATCATGTCATTTTATGTTCATTCTCTTAGACTCTTTGTTAATTGTTTGTTTAGCTAGTGTTACTACTCTCACTGATAATCTAGTAAATTTATGTTCATGGTTTATGACTTTCACCTATCTGATCCTTCCTATCTTTTTATCCCAAATGTTCTCTCCTTTTAGTTTTTCATCTCTAATTAATTACCTCAATAGCCCCATGTCTCCCCACCCATAACAGTGTGTTTTATTTCTTTTTTTTTTCTAACCTCAGACCTTATATTTCAGACTGGGCCCCTTAAAACAGCATTAACACCCAGCACTCCCAAGCAACCAAGTCCTGCTGAATCTTCAGAGCAGAGGTATTATCTCTGGAAGATTGCCCACCCCACCCCATGGTCATCAACTTATTTATAGATAGTGCACATCAGCAGGTTTCCATAACACACCAATCAAGTCATTAAACCACTCCTCACCTGAATTCATTTAACACACTGCATCCTTACAATGGTTTAAACACTCATTGATATTTGTGTGTGTTTGTATATATGATCTACATATCTATATAATACACATTTTCTCTAATGTTCTCCCTTCTATTTTTCACTTTAACACTAACTTCTGTCATTACTAAAATATCTCTATCCTTTCAATCACCTGTCCCTGGCAACACCATCATCATTACTTCCACCTTACTCCCCTCCCCTCTCTATTCATCCCATGCACTCTACACATACCTTTCCAGCCTATCTCCACCAACTCCTCCCAAATCCTCTACATACATACCCTCCTACAAAACTTTCAAATCCTACTCCCACCTTCACTTCCTTTCTATCCTTCTGCTCCTAGCAGCTGGTGATGTCTCTCCAAACCCCGGTCCCATCTCGGCAAACTCACTACATACTAACCCAAGGATCCACACTAATCTCATACCCATCTCATGTTCCTCTAAATCCTCCTTCAATACTGCCCTCTGGAACGCATGCTCTGTTTGCAATATTACTAAATCCACTGCTGTCCATGACTTCTTCATCTCTCGTTCAATAGATTTACTAGCCTTAACAGAAACCTGGCTCTCCCCCTGTGACACTGCTATCCTTGCATCTTTGTCCTTCGGTGGTCGTCAACTTACCCACAAACCAAGAAACTCTGAATGCAAAGGTGGTGGTGTAGGGTTTCTCCTCTCCCCTCACTGCTCCTTTAAACCTTTACCCAGCCCCCCTTCCATCTCTTTCCCATCATTTGAAATACATTCAATCCACCTTTTCAAACCCTTCTCTGCTAACATTGCTGTTATTTAGCATCCCCATGGTTCCCCTCTTCGCTTCCTTGACCACTTTGCTGCCTGGCTACCCTATTTCCTCTAATCTAAAATTGCATCCTTAATTCTCGGGGACTTCAATATTCCTATTAACCCACCTTTGGCCTCTAAACTACTTTCAATTACTTCCTCCCTCGGGCTATCACAGTGGGCTAATTCTCCCACCCATGTAGCTGGCAATACCCTTGACCTAATCTTCTATTATGCATGTACAGTATCTAATATCTGCACCACTCCATTTCCTCTCTCTGATCACCACCTCTTATCATTTGCTCTTGTGTACCCCCTCACCCAACAACCTCAGCCTAACCCCCCTCAACTCAGGAAGGACCTTAATTCTCTTGATCTCCAGCAGTTGTCAGCTGATATTGATTCACGACTGCTGTCCATTCCTTCCCTCTCGTGTTCTTCACTGGCCATCTCCGCATATAACACTACCGTCACCTCTGCCTTGAATGCTGCAGCACCACTCCTAACAAGCACCTCGAGGAGGACCCGCCCCCAACCATGGCATACTAAATCAACACGCTACATGCAAAGATGCTCCCATTGTGCTGAACGCTCCTGGAGGAAGTCTCGCACCCAGTCAGACTTTCTCCATTATAGATTCATATTGTGTTCATACAGCGCAGCCCTTGCCCTTGCCAAACAGTCCTACTTTTCCTCTCTTATTAGTTCATGCTCCTGCAATCCCAGGCGTCTCTTTGACACCTTTAATTCTCTTCTTCGCCCTGCTGTGGCCACCCCCCAAACTAACCTTACTGCTGATAACGTTGCATGTTACTTTACTGACAAGATTGAACAGCTAAGGAAAGAATTCTCCCCTCCTTGCCATTCTGTTTCTCAACCACACATAGATCATGCCTTTCTTACCCTTCAGACATTCTCCCCGGCTACTGACCAAGAGGTGGCTGCTCTTCTCTTTTCCTCTCGCCTCACCACTTGCCCGCTTGATCCTGTCCCATCTCACCTTATTAGATCTCTCTCCACTTGTCTCGTGCCTTCCTTAACGCACATCTTCAACTGCTCTCTCTCTTCTGGCATTGTCCCTGCTGACCTTAAACATGCCACTGTAGTACCTATACTAAAAAAAAATCCCTCGACCCATCCACCCCCTCTAACTATAGTCCCATATCCCTGCTCCCTTTTTCCTCAAAGCTTCTGGAAAGACTTGTCTTTACCTGTGTGTCTCATTTCCTCAATTCCAACTCTCTCCTTGACCCTCTTCAATCTGGCTTCCGCCCTCTCCAC